GTGGGGTCAAGCGTGGGAAAAGTAGGCCAAGTACCCTCCCCGGAAGGGACTGTCTCTCCGGAACCACGGGGGGGGGGAGCGGCTCACTTCAAACACGCGTGGAAATTGGCCCGACCGCTCGCCGCCAAAAACACATTGGGCTCGGACGCGGGGAAGCAACGCGCCAGGGGGAAACGGCTGGCGGGGGCGGGAGCCGGGGGCCGCCCGCGTCACGTGCTCACGCGCGCATCGTCAGCCCCGTGGGTGCGGCGGAGGGGGGGTGGGGTCACGCCGGGCTGAGCGGCTGCCTGCTCAAATGGCCCCGGCGCGGGGTCGCCTGGTGCGTTCGCCTCCGCTGCCGCCTCCGCTGCCAAATCGGTGCCGTCAGGAAACCGCTGCGGGCGCCTCCGTGCGGCGACAGCACCGGCTCACGAGCCCCGGCTGCCGAGCCGATTCTCGTCGCGCGCTCGAGCCGTTTGGCACCCGAGAGCTTTCTCTCTGGTGCCGGGCGGTTTCGTGGCGGCGTGTCGTCGCGGACTTTCCGTTTTCTCCTGAGAGATGTTTTCCGTGGTGGCTGACTCGGCGCGAGAGCGAGCGGCGGTCACGAGCGGGGAGGTCGCGAGTTCAAATGCTGCGAGTTAAGAATGATAGTTTGCCGGGGGGAGGGTAGTGGGTTGTGGGTGGGGGGTTGACTCGGCCCTATCCGGTCCTCCGTCGTCGACACAAACGAGCAACCACCTTGGTCCACAACTGAACGGCTGTTTACATCTAGAAAGACTTGTTCCTGGCAAAGGAATGTTGAATTTCTACCGGCTATAGATCAGGGCTGTAAAAACGGGACACGAGTATCGCCATAATGTTAATTTGTGCAGGATATCACTATGACGTGTGTTTCTTTAGCGTTAACAAAAAAAACTGTGCGTGGAGCGGAGTGGATGGTGATCTGGAACGCGGAAACAGGAGCTGCCAAATACGATGAGAAAATGATTGTCGCACCCATTACAAGGCACGTCACTCGTTAGTTTTGCCCGCGACCAGATCATGGGCTGGAATGTGTGGTCTGGAGCGGCAGCAGCGAATCTAAATACGCCCTGTTCCGCTTTTAGAATAGACCTCCCCATTTGTGTCTCCAAGTAAACATTACCGTGTGGTTTTGGGAGGTAGCCAAACGCGCTCAGAGGTCGGCGTAACCGAGCGGGTGCTGCTGACAATATTGGGTTTGAGTCCAGGTCACAACCGTCCGTGATTAAACCGGTTTCTCAGGCGTAGAGAATGCATAAAAAAATCCCCATTATATAAAATTTGGTTCTGCACTTAATTTGGATGCGTTTCAGCTCTGAACATTTAAATCACAACTTTGACTGGCACGTAAAAAAAACATCGCTTTCTGCATAGCAGGGAGTGGGTGGACCAGATGTCACTTGAAAGGATTTCAGAGGTAGCGCTGTGATATCCGCTTCTGCTGGCCCAATGCTCTTCACAAAAACTCAACACATGTGTCAGCAGTGCTTCCGCCCTCAGGGTTGCACGACTCTGCGATATTTCCGAACGGATTCTCCGTCTCGTTGAGGTTTATCGGGGGGGAATGTTGATCGCAGAATAAAAGTTGGAAACCATCTTTGTTGCATTCCGTCAACCAATCGGTCTCCCCAGACCAACATTATCTGCCAGCAAACTCTGCGCCACCTTTAATACGTCGGCAGCATTTCCGTTTATGCAATCGAGCAAACAAAGCGCATCAACAGATGTCTCCTGGAACAATGCAAAAAAAATAATCGGGAGGTAAATTTTTAGTTTTTCGGAAATGTTTTCGGACGGAGAGTTTACTCGAAGGAGGCTCCGGGTCTCTCGCATGGCGCCTGCGTTGAGATGCTCGGGGTTGGACAGCGTTTGCCCACTATCTCCGGCCGCACACAAGAGTAGATAACCGCTACGAAGATGACGACCCAGTGGGAACCCAGCTTGGGTGTGAAGTTGTGTTGTTGTTACGGCATCGGCGCGAGGAAAACCGGCTTTGCCAAAACTCGCCGGCACGAAACCAGAGCTAAGACGACGATGCGTGAATACGCAAATTCGTGTTTTGCCCTGACAGCCGACCACTTTGTACTGGACTGTGTGAAGTTGCGTTGCCACTAGGAATTAAACCCCTACCCCCCGGTCCCTCTTCTGCTGTCTCCCCGCACCCAAGTTCCGAATCCTCAGGGAGTAAAGTAAAAATAAAAAAATGTTGGCGCAATATTTACACCGGGGGACAGGGGGGGGGGGTGTGGGGCCGGTGAGAGAGGACGGAGCGGAGCGGCAGGTTGTACAAAAGCAGCCAGCGGGCGCCCCATGTCGCCGCATCGTCGACGGTCCGACTCCAGTCGAACGCTCGCGGTCGGCCCCGTCGCGCTTCGTGTGCAGTTGCTCGGCGGGGGAGAGAGCCGTCGAAGAGCGCCGGCTCTCCGCCCCCCGCCCCCCCCCCCCGCGGCGAAGTGGCCGCCGCGAGGGGGGTCAACATCTCGAGCCACCCCGAGACGGAAAAACACATCGGCCCGCAGATCGTCGATTGCGTAATCACCGCCACACCCCCCCCATCACACCGGCTCCTCCACCCCCCACTCCACGCCCCCCCGCCCCCTCTCCCCTCTGTTAGAACAAATGTTTCTGAGGCCGCTTTCGACAGCGATGCACTTACGGCATCTGCTGCTGTTGTTGTTGTTGTCGTTAATTTCTGTGAAGTGTGGCGTTGCGGCATATTCCGTGCTTCGTAATCTTACGTCTGTGTTTGTTTTCGCGTCGATGTTCGATGCGGTCTGCTCCCCCCGCGCTTGTTTGAGCCTCTGGTCAACACCGGCGGCAGCCCTCGTGTCGCACGACTGATTCTGCTGATGAGCCCCAGGTGGTTGAAACCCCGTCCAGAGGTTGATTGCTTAAACAAACGTGATATATTGGTCAGGAAAGCCCATAGACCTGATGGATTACATTGCATTTGTATTCATTGTTGTACTCCTAACCTTCCATGCCTATGCCCCCTGCCTGACACTTGTACAGTTTCAATCCAGCAGTGGATCAACAAAGTCCCGCATTGCTTATCGATCGGCTATCGATATTGTCGCGGTCGAGGAGCCGGTCGTGTGTGCGGTGGCGTACAATGTGTGTACTCTGACACTTCTTCCGAGACGCCTGGCCGGTGCGGAAGAGTAGGCCAAGCGGCGTCTACGGAGGGACCCTCTAGAGCTCCCTCGGGCGGGGGGGGGGGGGGAGGTCCTCCCGTCGGCGAGCAAATTGCACGTCCTGCTCCTTGAAGTAGTCAATCGGTTCGCTGGCTCTCTCTCTCTGGTGATTTGTGCAGAAGGACCCGGCATTGAGACCGCCGCGACCTTTCTAAATGCCTCATTCTCGGCATTTCTGATGGCCGAGCGCGCACTGCATTTTCGACGATAAATCTCAAATTCCCCTCCCGTCCCCGACGGAGATGTATCTGGCCTGACGCTATCTCACCCGGCCGCTCACGTGTGCGGTTTGCGCCGCGTGGAAGGGTGGGTGGGTGGCTGCGGAGCTTTTTCAGGCGCACGTGGAATCCACGGGGTGCTTCCTTCACTTTTGTTTCTTGAGGCTCCCTTTCTCAAAAGTCTCCCGAAGGGTGAATCCTTTTGCTGGAATCCGGGGGCCGATGTTGCCGGCGGGCGGCGGGGGGGGGGGTGGCGATGTTGGCCAAGGGGGGGGGAGTGGTATGCACATACCGTTTAGAATGCGCCACGAAAGCCGCGTTGGTCTCACGGCGTTATAATTCACGCGGTGCGACCGGTTGCATGCACGGGGGGGGAGGTGGGGGGGAGAGGTGAGGCATCCACGCCACCGCGTCCCCGGACCGTCGCCGCAGGGCAGACGGACGCGCCGCGGATGCCGAGGGGTCAAGGGTCGCGCTGCACCGCTGCCGCTTGGCCGGCGAGCAAATCGGAGGGCAGGGCGGGCGTCCGCTTGTTTTCGCGTCCAGAAGTTCTAATCAGCCGAGCGCAGCAGCTCGCACGCGGTTGGTTCCTGCGGTTGTGCTGTTGGGTGTGGGTATTGGGCATGTAACATTTACCCCCTCCCCACCGCCCCCCCTCCCCCCCGCTACCCGCAGAGAGGCACGGCAGCAGGGGGGGGAGTGCCCAAGAGGGACAGTTGAGCCGCCAAATTCTTCGGGGCCGGTTTGTCCGTCATGGGCCATTTAAAAAAATATATTTCAGCAATGTTGTAAAAGTGAATAAGTGGACATCCTCGACGTTTCGTTTGGGATACTTTTTATTTTAATGTTGATTTTAAGCTTTCGTGACTGCAGGAATCCATACTCTTAGGTTCTTTCGGTAAAGTCACGTAGGTAGAAAATAATAGATCACGACGTTTCGATCGCAACGCACGCAGTCGCCTGATGACCATTGCTTGCGTTGCGATCGAAACGTCGTGCTGTCTTATTTTATTCTACCTACGTGACTTTACCGAAAGAACCAAAGAGTATACTTTTTATTTTCTTTCTATCTTTCGCTTACAGGGAAGTGTTCACGCTCCTGCAGATTACAACTGTAACGGTGACGATCGTTCGCAGGCCGCTTGGCTTTTCGGGCCTTTGGGCCTCTGCTCAGCCACCGTGATGAAAAAAAAATACTTTGCGCACGCTGCCCCAGCGGCGGTGTAACGATCAGCACTCCGCTGCTGGCAATACAGAGGTGGCCGGTTCGACTCCATCTCCATGCGCGGAAGTTGAAACAATGGGACGAGTTTCGTACAATCTCCCTCCCCCCCCCCTTACCGCCTCTGTCCACCCAGCCGTACGAATGGGTGCATCGCAGTTAAGTCCACGATCGACAGGCCACGCGCACGCCCGGGGTGAAGTGTGGCTACGCCCGCGTCGGTCCGGTTCGCGTGGAAGACTAGGCCAAAGCACCCTGTCTCGAGCCTAGGCTCCTTCCGCCAGCGGCGCGGCGAGCGAGCGAGCGATGGCGGAGGCTGAGCGGACGCGGTGACGTTGACGCGGCGCCTCTGTGCTCCCTCCGCAGACATCCTGCTGATGTACCACAGCCTCTTCGCGCTCTCCAACGAAGACGGGGCCCTCTGGTATTCCCCGAGTCACAACTTCAAGGTCGAGCCCTCCGCCTCGGTCATCGTCACCTTCCGCATCCGGTGAGACTACTCCTCCAGCCCCCCACCCCCGAACGCGCGTCTCCAACTAAACACAACAAAACAATATGTATGTACATAATAACAAATCCGGCAAGCCAATGGATCAGTGACTATTCTGTTAACAAAGTTGGGTTAGTGAAAACCAGTGGGCGGTGTCGGGGGGGGGGGGGAGCGCTGGTGGAGGCAGCTGCATGGATACCGTGCAGGATAAAAAAAAAGTGCCTTCCGTACAGGAGTAAAACGTGAAACGAGCACCTTGCGTGAATGCTGACGTCGCGTGGACGAGAGGCGTGGACACGCGGACTCTCTCTCTGTGTTGTGACCTCGACAACATGGGGGGGGGAGGGGGGCAGTCGCCAACCACGTGGTTAGGGGGTTTTGTATATTTCTTTGAGAGTGTGTGAAGTGTCCTCTCAGACAAGACACATGGACACGGAGACAGAAAGCCACAATATTCCCCAAGCAAGGCGTTGTGCAGTAATAATTGTCACCGTTGACGGAGCGTGGTGGTGGCTCTTCATGGCTCTGGGTGGCTCTGCGTGGCCCTGTCGTTCTGCTTGACTCTGCTGACGCCGAGCGCGTACGTCTGGCCGCCGCCATGCGGCACACAAATCACACTCCCACCCCCCCCCACCGAGAAACCACCGCGACGTGAGCCATGAATACGTCCATTACCAGGCTGACTGCCGCAGGTGCTCACAGCAGCCAGAGAAACGCGGCGCGCATTGGCAGCTCGCTAAAAATCGCACGCAACTCGAACAAAAATGAATCAGTCTCTTACACTCATCGCTACCTGCGAGGGATGCACCCGTACCACAGGTTGGGAACTGCTGTTGTAGCAACAACAATAAAAACAAACTCTCTTTGAATTGACGCCGAAAACCTAGCCTGGCACGGGGGTGGGGGGCACGGGCTCGTGAACCGGAGTCGGGGAGGGGGCACATCCCCATGTACGGGACACGGCAGCCCGGCCTTAAGATAGTCCTGAGTCCTGGCAGCGTCGCATTGCAGCGATCTGGGCGCTGGGCGCACACGCCGAGCGTCGCGTGAGTCAGCGCCTGTTTTATATCTGGGTTAAAGTAACACGTGCGTGTGTGTGTTCGTGTGTGTACATGTGTGCGTGTGTGTTCGTGTGTGTACATGTGTGCGTGTGTGTTCGTGTCTGTACGTGTGAACATGTGTGTGGGGAGCGGTGGCGTGGCAGGTTACCGCGCTGCGCTACGAACCTGGCGCCGACCCGAGTTCGAATCCCGCTCGCGACCGATAACAGTGGCGAAAAGATTGAACCCGTCCCGGGCCTCCCCTAGGTCGACTCGGCCTTAAATGAGTATCCGGTGCGGTGGGTAGACATTGTCACCGAGGACACAAATGCGGCCGGGCGTGGTGTTAGCTACCACCCACGCCTCGTGTGCCGAGCAAGCCTAATAGGTGCTCACTAACAGCCGTTGACCCAACAGTCTGTTAGAAGCTGCGGGGGGGGGGTGATCTTTGTATTTGTGGAGAGGGCTCGCGCGTAGTTTTTCCCCATTTCCAACGCTAATGTCCACATTTGTGCTTGAGGCCAAAGATCGTTCATCGGCGCGGCAATCGGATGCGCTTACTTTCATTCTCGCAGCTGGAATTCGGCAAAAATGAAGTGAAATTACGTTTGGGGGGGTTTTAATGTTTTCGTAAAGTCACCAGTCGACTGCGCCTGAGGGCGCGGTTCAACCGCATCCCGGAGTCGAACCCAGGGAACTCCGTCCGCGGCGTGGCGCTCTGACCTCCGGAGCCACGCGGCCATCACTTTAGAGCTCAGTTGAAGGGGGCACGGAGAGGAGGGGAGGCGAGGGGTGAGGGGGGGAGGTCTCCTGGGTCAGATGTCTGCTTAGAGGAGAGAGGTTCACGTTGCAAGTTTACTTTGTTTGAGCACGGGGAGATGTCGCCAAACGAGACTCGCTTGCAAATGAGTCGCAGATGAGTCTTCATTTGCTAGTGGCACCTGGGTCACCAGAATGACAAAGGGCAAAACAATGAAAGTCTCACAGTCATTAAGCAAATAGAAATTTGAGCAAAACACAAACGACGGTGTCTAATGATAAATCGTAAATATTGCACAAACGGGAGAGTTTTTTTGATCGGTGTGTTTCGTGTAGATGACCTGCTAAACTATAAACTGTTAACACATTTTTTTTTTGGAACCAGGTAAGGCCCACTGAGCTGTGTAGCTTTTTTTCGGAAGCAACCTGGCCACAAATGACAGCTTATCGAAGCGTCTTACCGCGCGTGGACGTTTCTATCAGCAGCCAAATACACATTGAAGGCGTGTTTCTCAATGTGGGGGGAAAAAGCGGAGGAGCCGGAGAAAAAGCCACGTGGCCACGGGGAGAACGAGTGAGAGCAACCGGGACGGAGTCTCGTTTACAAGTGTGACCTGGGTCTCCGGAAGAACAAAAGCAAACCAATTAAATTAAAGGACGGGGATATACGTATGCGTGTTGAACTTTTTTGGCACCCCACGTAGCCAACCGTGCTAATCGGAGGTGCAGGAATGGAAGCGAATAGGACGTGGGAGAATATAAATCGACTGTGTCATACGACGAGCAATTTAAAACGTTTGCACCGCGAGAGGAGGAGAGGAGGAGAGGGGGACGCGTGCGCGGAGGTGGATGGAGGCAGCCGTGCGGATGAGCGGATAGGGCTGTTCTAGAACCCCACAAGTGGTGGCGGAGAGAGAGGAGCGACCTCCCCGTGACGCTTGAGGACCCCGGACGAAATCGCCTCTTGGCGGAAACCGCGATTCAAGCCCGGGGTTAAGATTGTCTCTACTTGGCCTCCCCGAACCAGCTGGCCGCCTGATATCCCCCCACGCATTACTCCCGAGGTTGAGAGAGAGAGAGAAAAGCAAGCCGTACAATGCGGCACTGTCACGGCACCTCGCAGCAGCTGGTGCTGCAAGGCGGTTTCGAGGGTTGCGACGAGGGCGCGTGGCCGTTGTCGGACGCGGTGAACGACGGCGAGTTTGTTCCGAGCTTTCGTCACGGACTTGCGGCTGACGGGATTCGCTCGCCGCGCGGAAGGGGACGGAGAGAGAGGAGGGGAAAGCTTCGCAGTGAGTTTTAGCCCGACCGTGGACTCCGCCCGGCCACAGAGACCCGCGTAGAGACCCGCGTAGAGACCCGCGTAGAGACCCGCGTAGAGACCCGCGTAGAGACCCGCGTAGAGACCCGCGTAGAGACCCGCGTAGAGACCCGCGTAGAGACCCGCGTAGAGACCCATGTAGAGACCCACGTAGAGACCCACAGACTACAGGAGAGTGGTTCCCTCTACTCGAGTGCCGCTCCCCTCTTGGGCTCGAGCCGGCGCGGCGAGGTTAGCAACTGGGGGGGCGCGGGGGGGGGCAGCTGTGGAACTGGGGCAACTGCGGTCCACGTTCTCTCGCACAGAAAGGTCACGCCGGGTAACCCCGCTCACAAGGCGGAGGGGTTGGTGAATTGTCTCGAGGGACGTTGTGACATCATTTGCAAGGATATGCGCCTGCTGTGCGTGGGTGTCGATGTGAAAAATACACCTCGGGGCGAAATGCAAATAAAACATTACCCAGCGCTGAATGAATGTGATCACGATAATCACGACCTTTTGTCAGTCCGCTGCTGGATGAAGACGTCCGCACTATGTGCAGTAGGTCGCGGTGGGGGGGGGCTGCTTTTTGACCACTCATTGCCGTCCGGGTCTCGGTCGTCGGGTTAGATTTGGCGAGGCCCGTTGAGCCGGGAAGCTCTCTTTCCAGCGACGACCGTGCCGGAAGGTGGAATCGCGCCGGCGACGCCGCGGGTTTGCGTGGCCCGCGTGTACTGGCCGTCATGGCACGGCAATGGGCTTATGGCCTCCGGGGAGGCTATACGTTCAGGTGTTTCACGAGTGTGGAAACGGAGCCCCCCCCTCCTCCGTGTGAGCGCCGTGTAAAACTCCCTCGGGCAACGCTGCGGTAAAACAGCGGGCGGCGCTTTATTATAGACAGACGGCGAAGCAGGAGCGGTGGCATTTGGGGCGGGGGGGTGGGGGGCTGACGACACCGTTTCGTTTTGTCACTTTGAATGCCCGGCAAAACAATCTCTCCATCGCGTACGTGCCCACCCCCCTGCCATCCCCCACACCTAACCCCGCTCGCCCACTGCGGTTGCGCTAATTAACCATTGGCGTCCAACAAACAGCTGTATTGCAATTAATCCGCTGAATAATTTGCCACTTAATGGGCGTGTGGCGGGGTGGTGGGGCCGGCAGGGTGGGGTGCGTGACGCGCCGATGGGGCTGCTGCTGCTGCTGCTGCTCCGGGTGACTGTGGCGGCCGCTCCGAATTGTAGACAAGAGGGCAGCAGGCCAAGGCTGCGCTGCACTCCGCTCCTCCTCCTCCTCTTCTCTTCTTCTTTGCCGCATTCGCAGACGGTGACTGGAGAGTTCCTAAAGTCGCTGTGGCGTTGCCGTGGAGCTTTCTATATATATATAAAAAACAACACCACCCCGCAGTCAATGTGGGATTATTTTTTAGTTTCATCTCCCCCCCCCACCCCCCCCCGCTGATCGAGGTGGTGCTGCTCACTGGTGGAAGCTCCACATTACTATGATGGGGACGAGTCTATCCGTAAGACCACTAATATTGACTCCCCCCGGGGCACTCGTTATTATTCACCCCGACACGGGGACGTTGCGCTGAGTGGGCCCCCCGCCAATCAGGATTCGATCGCGAGTGGCCGTTCAGTGGAGCATCGCGGGTAAAGAAAATATGAGCGGAGCTTCGTTCCGTCTCCGCGTACGAATAGAGGTATGTGCGAGTCCACAGGCCTCTTGGCGATCCACGCTGACATTACCCCAAGCTGCATGTGAAACCTCATGGCGGGACCCTGGGGTCCCATAAGCCCCCGGCTCTCGCGTAAACTGCGTTGTGACGTCATTTCATGTCTGTTGAAGGCGAACGACACGGCGATCTATTCCTCTCGACGAGCTCTACACGACGAGCTAAT